GGGAGCCCGAGGTGGGGCTCGGTCCCAAGACCCCAAGATCATGACCTGAGCCCGAGGCAGACACTTAACTAACTGAGCCACCCAGGCGCCTGTTAAAATTAGCTTTAAATAAAGAAAGAGCAAAACATTTTCTTTGTGATTAAAAAAAAATATTTATCCCACATTTCAAGGATAATATTTGTCTAAAAATAAAAGAAAAACTTCTTTAAGTTAAAAAATGGGCTCCCCTGGCAAATGCCACCAATATAGCTTAATGTTAATGTAAATAAAATCGTTACTTCAAGGCATACTAGAAATTTGAGAATGCCATTGCTGTTAACAGATTCCACATATATCTACAATTCCTCACCTCACTGTCTCCATTCTCTATTTATCCAAATCTCCCTCACCTACAAAATGGATAGAGAGCTGCAAGAATGAGAATAATTTTTAAGAAATTCTTTCCTTTCTGATTAGGTGGTATGTAAAAATAAAGTCAATCCACGTTGATTCACACTAATCTATTGCCTTGGCTTTGCAAGAATTGCTGAGCATCCCTTACGGCCCCAGCAAGCATTATAAGATAGAAAGAAATATGACAAAGCAAAGGTGAGAAAACAAATTAAACCAGGTGTCTACTGAAAAAAGAATCTATTGATGTAATTCATCACATTAAGAGATGAAACTAGAAAACACTGTGCTCATCTCATAAAAACATATGATAAAATTCACATCCATTCCTTATAAAAACTCATAGCAAAGAGTAGAAGGAAACTTCTTTACCCTGATAAAAAGGCACCTACAAAACCCTGCCACAAGCATTCTAATGGTGAAACATTATAAAATTTTTCTTGAAAATTATGCATCATGCATTTTATTTCCACTTCTGTTCAACATTGTACTGCAGGTCTTGGTCAATACAGTCAGGCAAGAAAAATATTCTACAAGCTTTGAAATGAAAGAAGCAAAATTTAGTAGGTACAATTGTAATGATTTCTTGCAAAGAAAAAAACCCCCAAAATATCTACATTAAAATGATTGAAACTACCAAGGGATCTGGATAGAAAATTAATATCTAAAAATTTATTTCATTTCTATGCCTCAACAAGAAAGAATGAAGAGATGGAATACTAAAAGTGACTATTTGTGAAAGAAAAAAGAAATTTGCTAGAATAAATATAATAAAAATATGCAATATATATATATATATATATATATTTTTTAAACTGGAGAATGGCTTATTCAAGTGTTCAAGCAGGTAAGTAAAAGAAACCAAACCATACACAATGCCCGAACCATTTCTGGAGGGACGTGACCTGCCTGCACTCTCCATGACTAGCTGTTTGGTGAACAGTCAGGACGAACACAAACAATAAACATTAGGCTGGAGAGAGCTGCCAGTTTTCCTAAGAGAGGACAGAACTCATTTTTCACTAAGTTCATGGAGAAACTCCCCATCACCAACAAGCCTTTAGGTCACCAACTTTGTTTTGGACCTATTAAAATTCTTGAGAGTATCCCGAATTGGTATTTTTTCTAATACTGCCCAAATAAACCTAGCCTTTAATAAACCTAGAGATCACAGGCATCAATGCACATATGCAATATTTTTATGGATAAAATTATAAAATTTTTTCGAAGGTTATTAAAGAATGCCTAAACTGGTAGGCAAATCTATTGTATTAATGATAAGGAGACCCCGAATCAGTAGAATATCAATTCTCCCAAATTATTGACTTAGAATAATACTAATCAAAATCCAAACATTTTTCATGGAACATAACAAGCTGATTTTTTAAAAAATTCAAATCCAATTAATTAACATATAATGTATTATTTGTGTCGGGGTACAGGTCTGTGATTCATCAGTCTTACACAACACCCAGCGCTCACCACAACACACACCCTCCCCAGTGTCCATCACCCATTCTCCCATTCCCATCCTCCCATCCCCTTCCCCTCCAGCAACCCTCAGTTTGTTTCCTAAGATTAAGAGTCTCTTATGGTTTATCTCCCTCTCTGGTTTCATCTTGTTTCATTTTTCCTCTCTGATTTTTAAAATTTATTTGGAAAAGCAAAATGTCAAACCAAGAAAATCTCTAAAAAGAACTAGACAAGGGAGAGGGGAAACAGGAAACTTGTCCTGTAGGTTGTTAGATTTAATATGAAGCTACAATCACATGGATGAATGGTATCAGCCCAAGGATAGACAAATAAATCCATGGAACTCAAAAGAGATCCAAGAAATAGACCACGCCACATCAGTAAGGGTAATCCTTGATTATGCTGTATAAGGAATGCACCCTGAAAAAGCTTTACTTGCCACAACACAGGTTTCTTTGTCACGCATATCACCAATTAATGAAGCCATCTGGCTCTCCCTAGTCCTCTCCTCCAACTTGGAGATCTGGGCTCCTTCCCTATTGCAACTCCTTGAGGTTCTTTGCTTCTAGCCCCAGGGTAAGAGACCACATGGCACATAAAGACTCCCACATGCTCTTAACTGTGGCGCATCCCTCCCTCCCACATTTCCGTTGTTAAGAACTCAGGCACATGGTCTCAACACAACCACATGGAAGGCTGGGAAATGCAGATTTTTTCTGTATCCCCAGAAACAAAAAATGATATGATGAACCAGCATTATCTCTGCTGAAGAGTATGAAAACTTATACCTGACAGAATTGGCATAGCTGATCCCTGAGGAAAGTATTAACGATTAACAAATGACACTATGAAGAAAAAAAGGAACTCAAGTCCTTCTTTACACTGCACACAAACAAATAATTTTCACATAGACTTAAAAACTTACATAAGAAAGACAAAAGACAAAACTAAAAGACAGCCTACTGAATGGGAGAAGATATTTGTAAATGACATATCTGATAAAGGGTTATTGTCAGGAATATATAAAGAACTTATACAACTCAACATCAAAAAAATAGAAACCCAAAGAAACCCCCAAATAATCCAATTAAAAATGGGCATAAGACATGAACAGACATTTCTCCAAAGAAGACATACAGGTGGCCAACAGACACATGAAAAGATGCTCAACATCACTCATCAACAGGGAAATACAAATCAAAACCACAGTGAGATACCACCTCACACCTGTCAGAGTTGTTAAAACAAAAAACACAAAAAACAACAAGTGTTGGCGAGGATATGGTAAAAAAGGAACCCTCATGTGCTATTGGTGGGAATGCCACTGTGGAAAACAGTATAGAGGTTCCTCAAAAAATTAAAACTAAAATTATCATATGATCCAATAATTCCACTCTGTATTTACCCAAAGAATACCAAAACACTAATTCGAAAAGATGTACCCACACTTATGTTTATGCAGCATTGTTTACAGTAGCTAAATTATGGAAGCAGCCCAAGGGTCCCTCAACAGATAAATGGATAAAGAAGATATAGTGTATATATACAATGGAATATTATTTAGCCATTAAAAAGAATACAATCTTACCATCTGCAACAACATGGATGGATCTAAAGAGTATAATGCTAAGTGAAGTAAGTCAAACAGAAAGACAAATACCATAGGTTTCACTCATATGTAGAAACTAAACAAGCAAATGAACAAAGGAAGAAAAGAGAGAGAGAAAAACCAAGAAACAGACTCTTAAATATAGAGAATAAACTGATGGTTATCAGAGCAGAGGTGGGGGAGGGAATGGATGAAAGAGGTGAAGTGAATTAAGAGTGCATTTATCATGATGAGCACTGAGTAATGTGTAGAATTGTTGAATCATTGTATTATATGCCTGAAACTAACACAACACTGTATGTTAACTATACTGGAATTCAAATTAGAGAAAGAAGAAAGGCAAAAGAAATATAAGAGAATACCTTTAAGACCTAGGGATTGGGAAAGAGTTCTTAACACACAGTAAAGCACAAACCTAGAAGGAAATGATGGCTAAAAATACATGATACAGAAAGAGAAAGGAGAAACAAACTGGTACAAGATATTTTCAATACATTTAACTGCCAAAGTGTTAGTATCTAGATTATAAAAAGAAATTCTACTAGTTGACTGTTACAAAAAATAATTGAATGGAAATAATTGTTCTTCATTAGTAAGTCAGAAAATTAGAATTAAAATTACATTAAAGATTCCATTTCAATTCAACCATTCAATTGGAAAAATTAAAAAGTCAGGCAGCTTCAAGTGTTAGCAAGGAGGAGGAGCTATAGGAAATCATTTCCACTACTGGTGAAAATAGAAACTGGTGTAAAAGGTTTGAGAAATAACTTGGTACTATTCTATGAAATTAAAATATGTGCACCCCCAAGAAATAGCAATTCCACTTGTAGACAAATCCCAACACATGGGGACCATGGCTACATTTTTCAACACAGATGATAAACTTGAAAATAAAATGTTGAGTGAGAAAAATAAGATACAGAAGGATATATATAGTACACCATTTTTATAGAGTTAAATCAAGCAAATCTAAGCGTATCTTAAGAATCTACACATTCAAGAATCCAAACGTGTATTTAAGAATCCATACTATTGGGGAAAAGTAAGGGAAGGAGCAAAATGAAAATTTAAGGTAGTGGATACCCTTGGGGCTGTGGCAGGGAGACAGTGGGGACGCGGACACAAGGAGCTTCAAGGACATCCGATAACGTTGGATTTCTTAAGTGGCATAATGGGTTCCCAGACATTCATCTTATAATGTAATCAGTGAATATGAATATAAATATTCCCTTATGCATCAAATATTTAATTTTTAAAATTAAAACCACCCAGGCATGCACACGCACACAAAGGAGAAGAAAGAAGTAAGTACTCCCATTCAACAGAGTTATTGATTTGGCAGGTGCTCAGGAGCAGAAAGAATGAGAAAGTGCATGTTCTCTTTTTAACACTTAGTCTGTAGCAAGATCCTCTTTTACCATTTAAAGTTTGTTTCCTTTTCACAATTACCTAGAAGCCCCTCCCAGTATAATTTATCTCATTTTCGCTTTTTATTTAACATCAAAATTCTGTTTTATTTTTTTCCCAGTGGCCAGGTTTTATCTGCTCTTCCTAGAACCTCCAGGCAAGTTCAGATTCTGCAGAATCTTACTACAACATTCGAGGTAAATTCTCCTTCATTTATCTTTACAGGTGACCCTTGAATAACACTGATTTGAACTGTGGGGATCCACTTACACCCAGATCGGTTTTTTTTTTCTGAGAAATACAGTATAGTACTGTAAATGTATTTTCCTTATGATTTTCTTAATAACATTTTCTTTTCCCTAGTTTAATTATAAGAATACAGTATATAATACATACAACACATGAAATACATGTTCATCAACTGTTTATGTTATCAGTAAGGATCCAGTTAACAGTGGGCTATTAGTAGTTAAATTTTGGGGAAATCAAAAGTTATATGAAGATTTTCAACTGCATGGGAGTCGGCACCCCTAACCCCCACATTCTTCAAGGATCAACTGTATGTTAGCCTCACTAGGTGTGAATTTTGTGTACGATGTTCTCTCATACGTTGTCTGAATTACATATAGTTGGTATATTTTGAAATAGAGAGTGAGCAGGGGGGAGGGGCAGAAAAAGAGAGAGAGAGAGAATCTTAGGCAGGCTCCATGCCCAGCAAGGAGCATGACGCAAGGCTCGATCTCACGACCCTAAGATCATGACCTGAGCCAAAGTCAAGAGTCAGACCTTAACCAACTGAGCCACACAGGCGCCCTTGAGCCCCTCTTCTTATAGCCGTCTCCCCCTTCCCATCATCACATGATTTTGCTGGTTGCTAAAATCAAAACTTCTTCATTTGTGCTATTGGCTTTTCAGCCAATTTCATAATAATTGTACTTTGGGAATGAAAATGTGTACTTACAAAGATGTTGTGATAACAGAAGTCCAATAGAACTTTGTTTATACAACAATGGTTTGTAAAAGGAATAAGTATCAAACCACAAGGGAACATTTATTAAAATCTTCATGCCCGGGACCCATCTCCCCAGAATGCTTAAGGTGTAGAAAGCTGACAAGAGTTACAAAATGTCATGGTAGAAAATTGATGTCTCCCTATTTGTCAGTTAAGGTTCTCCAAGAAGCAGACATCAAAACCAGATTAAAGATGCCAGGGATAGGGGAGCCTGGGTGGCTCAGTCGTTAAGTGTCTGCCTTCAGCTCAGGTCATGATCCCAGGGTCCTGGGATTGAGCCCCGCGCCAGGCTCCCTGCCCAGCAGGAAGCCTGCTTCTCCCTCTCATACTTCCTCTGCTTGTGTTCCTTTTCTGTCTCTCTCTCTCTCTCTCTCTCTCTCTCTCTCTCTCTCTCTATCTCTCAGATAAATAAATAAATAAATAAAATCTTAAAAAAAAACAAAGATGCCAGGGATGGACTAGGGGGGGAATGCTTGTGATGGATGAAGAGGAGGAAGCTAGAGACGGTAGGGGGCACTTTCAGACCGTGACGCAGCTCTGACCCTTGTGCATAAATGGAGATTCTCTAGGGTAGTTCTGATGAAGGTTTAGCTAGACCAGTGGCGCGTCCTTAAACCAAAGCTACCTGGAAGAGGAAACCCAGATCTTGCAGAAATGGGCCTGCAAGAGTATGCCCTCGGTGCTCAATCAGTGGCTGGCTGCAGCCCTGGGGCAGCTTGGCCTCAGTCTCCAGTGGATCAAGAGGTACAGGGGCTGGGAAGGGCACTCAACTATGCTCCTCTCAACAGAACTGAGTGGTGCGTTTTTATGGCCACCACACCACGGCCAGAGGACATACCACCAGAGGAAGCACCAGAGTTCTTATTCTGCCACTTCCTACATGTATGATTTTAGACAAGTTGGCTATGAGCATTAATTTCTTCATTATTTCCAATGAAATAATGACAGTGAAAATAATAACACCTGCCCAGCCCATAGCAAAGTGTAATTATAACGGTCAAAGGAAATGGGTAAGAAAGTGCTTGGAAAAAGCCCAGTAAAATAGAAAAAAATGTAAGTATTATTGAAAGGCATTGCCCAAAGTCCATAATTAGATTAAAGAAAAGGAATACTGACAGGATAATAATAATATCAAGGACATGGAATTTTTATTAAAGAAAATCAACGCTTAATTAACTTTCTAGACAGAATTGCATTTCTCCTTTACACATCTGACATACACAGCCAGCTTTATAGTTGGGTCAAAAATGTATTTATTCACTCATTTATTCTTGTCTCACCAAATATTTATTGAGTGCCCTATATGTCCTAGGCCCTCTTTAGCAACTGGGGTTACAGAGAAGAATAAAACAAGCCCCCTGCAAGATAAATGTTTACACTACCACGTGTGTGAATGGTGACTGGTTACCAGTGGCCAGGAAATGTCTTTTTCATTTCTCCTATGGACACATTCTTATGGCTTTAACTACAGATGAGAATGATGCGAACAACCATTTTTGTTTTCATTTTTTCCCCCTTGAAAATGCAGATTGTTCTCTGGCAGCCAGTAACAGCTGAATTTATTAAGAAGCAGAAAGAAGTCCATTTTTTTGTGAATAAGTCTGATGTAAACAATGTGAAAGCCCATTTACATGACAGTACAATTCAATTCAGGTAGGCACCATTCAATATTTATTGAGTAGTCATTATAAGCACCTATGATGCATTTTACTAGCAGACAGTATAATTGCTTCCTGGAAAAATAAACACTTATGTTGAACATGGCAACATGGAAATCTCCAAAGTGGACTGGTGATAAGGCCCCAGTGGCTAGCTCTGTGACCTTGGACAAGTGGCTTAATCTCTCAAGACCTAGGTCCCTTATCTGAAAATGCCTCAGACTCAGCGATCTGAGGAGCCTCTTAGAGTTCCTCCTTATTCCTTCCTTCTTGTAGTTCTACTGTGAGCCTAGACCTGGGGAGCAAAATTGTCATTCACCTTAGTAGGTTTGGTGGTATTTCTTGAAAAAGCAGTGCTAAAGGGATCTGGCTTCCTTCCTTGCTTCACAAGGTCAGTGAACATTCTTGAATGTCTGGCCCTAAATGAAACACTGTATCAGAGGCAATTTCTGTTCAGACTCCATGTCCCTTCCTCTTGGATTCTCCTGTGTCCAACGTCTCCTTCCTGCATCCACTGCCCAAGAGCGGGTCTTCCACCAGCTACCCTAGTACTTCCTGGAGGCCATGCTCTAGTCTGTGTATCAATGGGCAGCCTTTGGATAAGCCGCTATAATAATTATTTTTTTAATATTTTATTTATTTATTTAATTGACAGAGAGGGACATAGCGAGAGAGGGAACACAAGCAGGGGGAGTGGGAGAGGGAGAAGCAGGCTTCCCACGGGAGCAGGGAGCCTGATGCGGGGCTCGATCCCAGGACCCTGGGATCATGACCTGAGCCGAAGGCAGTCGCTTATCCAACTGAGCCACCCAGGCGCCCCCGCTATAATAATTATTAATAATATGTTATAGGTGTTTACTGCCTTTCAGGGACTGTGCTGAGCCTTTATATACATTGCTTCATTTAACTCTTATTTAACTCTGTGAGATAGATACTATCCTCATTATGCAGATGGAAAAATGTTTCATATTCACAAAGGAATTTTGCAAGATCATACCACATAGAACATAGCAGAGCTAAGAGTTGAACTCAGACTCTTCTGATGTCAAAGCCTTGGCTTTTATCCGTTGGCCTTAAAAAAAGAAAAAGGAAAATGATATTAAAATGATAGCTAACTTTCAAACTGTTCATCCCAAGTGAAGGAACAGCTTAATTGAGTTAAAATGTTTGCCTAGTTAACAAGGTGGTACTTCTGAAGAGAATTAAACAAGATGACTTTCCAGTACCTTCCCTTTCCCTGTGCTTCTATTTCTCTAGAGGTCTGATCATCTTTGGCTATGCAGAACATCTGGTATAGGTCAACGGTTGTCGCAATGAAAAACAAAAAGAAAAGGCTTTCTGCTTCTCCTTGGTCCTTAACTGAAAACAGAATAATACAATGTTACTCTGGATTTAAGAAAGTTGTCCATTAATCCATACATTAAAGACACTGATGAATCACAATCAAGGAATGTTGGTAATGGTGGGGAAAGGGTGAATTTTTGGAGGCCCTGAAAACATACCATGTAGAAGCCACTTTCTCTCCAGCACCTGTGTGGGCTCTCCCAAGAAGGTTTGTGAATTTCAGCTTAATACAATGTTCTGGGTTATTGTTTGCACCTTGGTGAACTTTTGCTTGTTAGATTTCTCCATGATTTTTTCCCATGCTCACCTGCTGTTGTGCCTGCAATGGGCCATGAGTCCTGTTTGGAAATCAGCTCTCCCTCTGTTTTGTACCCAGAATCTTGGTGGAAGAAGTGAAAGATCTTATCAAACAGCAAACTCTCAATGACACGGTCACCCCCCGGACTTCCTCCTCATACTATGAACGGTATCACCCACTAAATGAAGTAAGCCATTACATTTCTCTCCAAAATTACTATTTTCATTTAATTAGCATTGCCATTTCAACCATGGGATATTATTAAAGAAACATAATTAGTGGAAAAGGATAAAAAAAATCATGATTCGGTTGATTATATGGTGTTAACTTACCCTCTTGTAAATATCTGCCCTGAGAAGATTGCATCGTATTTAGTAAACTGCTTCTAAGCAGGCTGTTTGTCCACAGCTGAGAGTATCTCTAACTGTTAGTAGTAATACTGCATGCTAAGGAATAACAGGAAATAAAAAATAGGGCCCTTTTTACTGAAACTGCTACAAAAAAATTAACAATCCAATTAATCATGTCTCTTTGGACCATTACCCTGATTGTACTCTTACTGAATAATGGCAACGTTATCTCACTGAATTAAAGGAATTTATACACTTATATTTAGTGCACTGTAAACCAGTGCATTTTATTCCCCTTGGGAGGAATCTATTTAAACTAATAATAATAATAATAATAACACCACCTGTATTTTATTCTTGCACCACCTGTACTTTAATCAAAAAGTTGATTTTTTTTTTCTATCAGTTCTTACAGGTTCCAATTTTTCTAGAGGGAACCTGAGAAAGATGCTGGGGCTCAGTTGATTGGTGTGAGCTTTCATGTAATACTCTAAGAACCATATCTCCATATTTGTTAGTTGAAAGGGTAAACTCTTTGGAGGACTTTCTTTTTATATAGTATGCTCCAAGTAATAAAAATCCCTCGATACCTTTTTCTCTTTCATAGGAGTATGCTGCTCTATTGCTTAATATAAGTATTTTTATCATCTTTGGCTAGGTGCCCGGAAACTGTTAAGGACCATATCCATGTTTTTAAGACATCTAAGACTTAAGAAATAAGAATCAATTTTCTATTTAATCCTCAAAAGCATCTGTTCCTTTCCAGTTAGTTAAAGCAGAACTCAGTCTCCTTCTAGAATCAATGCGCTTGGCTGATTGATGGGGAGCTTAGAGTTGCACCCCCCTCCTTTCTCTCTCCTCCCTTGTCTCTATTCTGCCAAGACCTCTTCCGTCCATCATTCAAACCCTGCTTTGAAGTGGCCACTAGCCTGAAGTCAGGGCCAGGAGGTTTCGTTTTGTCCTCCCACTGTAATCTTGACAGAATCACCGGTACCACTAGACTTCCAGCCAGGAGAATGGTCCTGAATTACACTTCTCGGAGAAAACGTTCTCCCTCCAGATTGTCCTCCCCTTTGCCTCCTCTCATTTTACACGTCTTGTTGTGAGCACACAGGTCTCTAGTAGGAAACAATGGCACTGCTATTTATCCTGTGCAACGATAGTGCCCAGGACTTCCTTAGGTTACTCTTGAAAAGTGAATATTAAAAAAAAAATAAAAAAGTCCCATAGAAATGTGAACTCAGGAATGAATGGGAAAGAGGATTTCACACGCGGAGGCAGGGGTTCGATGTGATGAGCCTTTAAAAATAATTTTCAGGAGATCTACTCTAAACTTTTCCTACTTTGTCATAAGTTTCTTAGTACTCTTCTACTATTTCTCTAAACCTTGATACTTTTGAAAACTTTAATTTTATTGATTTTCCTAAACAGCAGAAGAAACACCGAGCCCCAACTTGCTTTGGTTCCTTATTTTTTCTTTATACAAATGTTTTAAAGGGATCGCCTTGCCCTGAAGAAATTGTTTGCTTCCTTTGGCCAGGGAAATGCTTTGAACTTGCTCTGTGACTGACTGCTGGTTTCTCTTTTGATAGATCTACTTTTGGATGGAAGCCATAACTAAGAACTATCCTGAAATGGTTGAAAAAATCCACATTGGATCCTCATACGAGAAGTACCCACTTTATGTTTTAAAGGTGTGTTGTGGGGAGAGTCACTGATCTCTCAGCTTTGGAGAATGTATTAGTTCTCCACTGCTGCTTATTATAACTTGGATTGTTTTTCTTTGAGCTATGGAAATATTTGTATTACAAGTGTTCCTCAATTTTAATATCCAGCTATTTGGGGATTGGTTATTACCTTTACATTCTTTCCTTTACTAATGCAATGTTGGTGTAACAGTGAAAACCCTATTTTTAGAATTTACTCTGTCTCTGTCTATGGGACATAGATAAGCTATTTAACCTCCCTGAGCTTTGGTGTCTACCTTCATAAAAGGAGGGGAGCCATATGGATTATTTTTCCAGTACTTTATTTATTCCCACCACCACCACCTCTGACTGGCTTACCTGGCAGGGAAGAGAACGAAGAGGAACCTGTTGTTAGACAAACACTGATACTGCTGTAATTTTTGGAACCAAAGAAAGAGCTGAACAATCAAACCCAGGGTAAGATAGGAACCAGGGCAATGTTGGGGGCCTTGGCAGTAGGGCTGATATGATAGCTTCTGTTCCAATCCCTGTCCATTTGGTTATTTATTTTTAGTTGAATAAATTGGCCTTACTAAAGGTCTGTGACTATGGCCAAAGAAAGAATTTTGGGGAGCCATGAAACCATACTCATTCCTGCTGTTAATTTCTAATTCTGCATTTTTTTAGCAGTTCCCCCTGCCCCTCACCCAAATAATTAGAAAGAAGTTCTAGGGAAAAAGTAAGCATCAGAAAAATACCTTTGACTTAATAACATTTAATTTACATATAGTTTCCCAACATTATCTATCTAAATTGTGAGAGGTGAGCCTCTTTAGTCAGCCAAAGATAAGATTTCGACTTGGGGTTCCTGGGTTTTCATTTGTTTTGACAAGAACCTGCAGTGCAAACTCAAGGTAGATGAAACATCAGGTCTTCTTGATGGCTGAGTTGGTGCATCTAATTGGATCCACACATTTGTGGTCTACCTACCCATGCCGTTTGCTTTTGGCCATAATGTATGTGCTCTTCAGAACTTGTGTTTCTGGGGCCCAGATTTACACATTAGAAGATCATGCTTCCTGCGTGCCTTAGTTCCAGTCTTACTTGACCAAGAGCGTGCACACGATGGGAGTCTCTGGGGTTCCTTCATCTTTCCAGTGTCAGGACCGGTACCAAGAGTGTTTGCTTGGCACTGTTAGACAGAAAATTGAGTCAGGCAACTAGTCCAGATAACTCAAGATTTTCTTTTAAATTGAGTAAATTAAATCAGCCACATAGTTCTCCTCTGTGTACTATTTTACTCTTTGAAGCCAATGCCCTTTGATTTTCTCCCTTGCTTTCTTACTGGAGTATCACTAGCTCCAGGTTAGTTAAGAACAAACTTCCCTGAGTGCTGGTGAATGGCAATAAAAATTGAACTCTCTCCTTTTCTTGTTTTGGAATTTCAACTCCACATATTTGTTTAATTTTATAATACTCTTCTCCCTCCCTTCCATACCCTAATTGTGTTGAAACTAATTTTTAAAAGCAAATGAACCATGATTCATTTTGTGTGGAGGTGTTTTTGAGAACACTTCTGAAGGCACCAAAGTCTATCACTGAGGACAGATTAGGAGTTCTTATTCCAGAATTGGCAGCTTGCACTAGCTCCCCATACAATGAGTCAAAACAAGGCCTCTGTCCCCACAACTGGTGGTAAAAAGTTTGTGTGAACTTAAATGTGTGCTTTTTTTCTGTGGGAAATGAGGAAATAGTCTATACGTAAAAAGTATGCACCCTGGGGAAAACAGTGAGGGAGTCCAAGTTTATCTTCAGCACCACTGGCTTCCCCTCCCCAAACCTTTCTTTGTTCCAGTCTCCTACAGAAACTGCCCATGCTACACATACCTATTTACCTCACGGAATTGTCAAGATACAGCTAAAGTGCTAGTGCTCTGGTCTTTATTTCTACACTTCCACATGCAACTCTGATATGACTAAGCAATTGTGGAAGAACAAAGAGGGCTCTAAACTGAAAGTCCTGAGTGCAAATGTCAATCCTGATTCTCACCAGCTATGTGACTTTAACTAGTATCTTTTAATCTCACCAGCTTTTAATGTCCCTTGAAAACCCTCAAAGGAATGCAGAGAATAATGTGTGTTTCACAGATTTGTTGCAAGAATTAAATATAAGCACTACATGAATGGAGGTATTATCCTGAAGCTTCTTGTTATTGTTGTGGGTTTTCTTTGGACAGGTTTCTAGAAAAGAACAAACAGCCAAAAATGCCATATGGATCGACTGTGGCATCCATGCCAGAGAATGGATCTCTCCTGCTTTCTGCTTGTGGTTCATAGACCATGTAAGTACTTACATTCTCTTAAGCCGGAGTTTCTAAATGTGTGGCCTAAGACAACATGTGCAGAATATTAAGTGCATTTTCCCAGGTCACATCTCCTAGAATTCTCGACTTAAACTCTCTGGTGGTGAGGTCTGGTGATCTACAATTTTCACAAGCTACCTGGGTGATTTTGTGCATATTAAGTTTGAGAACCATAACTTCAAGCATTTAAATCACCCTAAAGATTGTCCACCTTTTCCTTCCTACATTTCTGGCTAAGGCTAAACACTGGAAAATAATCAAGAAATATTTTACAATTGTAATGTGTTTACTAAGGGCCATGGTCTGCCCATGGAAATTGAACATGAAGTATAACATTACAGAGCAGATCATATTTTCTTATATGTCATAATGGGGGATTTTGTCCCTGAAGAAGGCCTTGGCAGCAAAAAAATCCATATATCCATATATAAGACAAGGAGTATGGCATAAAAATCAAAATTATAATGACTATAAACCTCTATCATAAATGAAAGCATAAGAATTATGCTTCAGTTCCTATAAAATGGGCATAAATGTTCTCTCTATTGATTTATACAAAGAGCCTTTACCACTGGAAGAATAACTTAAAATATGTGTCCTTCTTGCTGATGCTTCTTTTCCCTCTATTCACAGGTATACAACTATACAAAATAGATTTGTTTTTAAAAATTAAAAGATAGTCGCTTAGATAGATCTGATCACGTAGATTAACAAATGAAGTACATCAAAGATAAAAACATTTTTTGCCTTTGCTGGGTCTTGTCAAATACAACATTTCTACCTAACTTCTCCTGCCTTGCCATGTGCTCTTCCCCCTGACGGGAGCTGCAGCATCCCTGAGCCTTCTGCAAAGTTTCCAGCCACCATCGGTACTACCTTGACCAAATGAGGATAGTTCTCAACTGACTAGATCCTTAACACAGCCCAGCCATTTAAGGATCCTTCCTGAAGTTGGCTAGTTTTATTCATTTTAGGTAATGAAGGGAGTACCAGTTAGTGGAGAAAGAAAGGTGCAAAGCAAGCAAGAAAGAACACTTCTTTTTCATTCCAACACTGAACCTGGAAAGGGCCAGAAAGAAACTCTAATTCATATTGACTCTAATTCCTATTGGTGAAGTTGTCCTTACTTGCCATCCTTCTCAAACTGACACCTCTTCTCTCCTATTACACATGCTTGCCTCTACCCTGCCCCCTTGCTGAATCTTTGCAAGATTAAATTCTTTATTCTACAAATATTTATAAATTGCCTATGAGTTTCCAGACTCTGGAGATACCAAAGGAAACAAGATACCGCTCAAAAACCTTACTGTCAAGTATTTTGCCCCAACAACTTGAGTCTGATTTTTGTAACCCAAAGCAACACGGTCAATAAACTCTTTTTAATGGACATTTCAGGAGCTCTAGCCTTGCCTGCCTACAACTAATTTAGATCATCTTTCATAATGATTCACACAACTGTAGAAGGAAAAATAAAAGATTTAGCTTTAAAAATTTATGTGGGTAGATTTTATACTTAAAAAGTAAGGAACCCAAAGATGAATTGAAGTCTTAGCTTTTAAGTCTCTGTAAAGAAAACCTACACCATCCCTGTGTTTCTCCTTTCCTCTTGCACAACAACACACACAACACTTCTGACACCAGATACCTGGGCACTTTCCCCACACCACGCAATTCTGTGACACCTGTTGTGTGTCCTACAATTTAACTCAATTCTGACACTATCCACATGGAGATTGAGTCAGATCCCGCTGGGTGAGGGCTCAGTCCCACAAGACTGCCCCCCTCACACTTCAGATGCCCGTTGAAAGTCCAGGCTGTTAGCTGTGCTTCTGACTAATCAGCTACAAATCAAATGTTCCCATGACCTCCTCCTTAGGTTTGATTAATTTGCTAGAGCAGCTCACAGAACTCAGAGAAACGGTTCACTTACTGTTTACCAGTTTATTATGAAAAGGATATGATAAATGATATAGATGAACATTCAAGTGGAAGAGATGCCTAAGGCAAGGTATGTGGGGAAAGGCGTGGAGCTCCCCCACCCTCTTCAGATGAGCCACTCTCCCAGCACCTCCACATGTTCACTAACCCAGAAGCTCCCTGAACCCCATACCTTTGGGATTTTTAAAGCGGCTTCATCATGTAGGCATGATGGATCATTAACTCAATTTCTAACCCCTCTCCCCTTCCTGGAGGATCGGGTTGGGGCTGAGTTCCAAGTTCCTGGCTTGGTCTTTCTGTTGAGCAGCATTCTTCCAGGAGCCCACCAAGAGTCACCTGAGAGAACAAAAGACACAGCAATCACCCAGGAAATTCCAAGGGATTTAAAAGTCCTGTGTCAGGAACCTAGGTCAAAGACCAAATACTAGACCAAAAGATGCCCTTATTGCTCTTATCATTTAGGAAATTACAAGGTCTGTGCCAGGAACCAGAGGGGATGTGGGGTAGAGACCAACATATATACACACGTATTTCTGTCTCACAATTCTCACTGTCTTCTCCAACTCAATATGGTGCAGTCTCAGCTTAAGGAAGTGCATTGCTCTACACTTTGGGGACCCTGAGGCCAGTCATTTCTTTCTATGCTTCTCATTCATCTGGCAGAGGCCAAATGTAGGTCCCTTCTACTAGTGCAAAGGCAGGGGCTGAGCCTAGCTTGCGCATGACTGCATCACTAGGACCAAACTCAGCACAGGGTCTGGCACATCACTGGAGCCCAAGGAACATGTGTTGGGCATCACACCTAGCTCAGTACTTTGTCTGCCAACTGGATTTTCTCAGTGCCAACCTCCTTCTGAACCTCTGACCCGGAGAACTCTCATGTAGCTGCACACAAAGTTGGTACCCTGCAACCTCAGGTCCTCCACAGAATTCCTTCTGCTGCCCCTCACCTTAGCTGACACGTGACTTGTGAAGAACACTGCTTCATAGAAGCTCCATCAAGGAGAGGGGCTGCTCTTCCATGTCTCCATATGCTGAGGGACCCGAGTAGTAGATCAATGTTCTCCTGTCCTAATACAGGTAATCCCTACTTTCCAAAAGTTGGCATGATGCCACTTCACTTTTATGAAAGACCTACATTTGATGGGAATGGTTTTCTTCGTTAAAGAAAAAAAAGTCTTTCAGATTTCTTTCAGTTAGCAAAAACAGGTACTAATGTAAAAGTGTTTGCAAAGTGGGGATACTTTTGACTTTATACCGTTTTGGCTTATGGAAATGTTTCATAGGCATGCTCTGCTTTCGGATAGCGCGGGAAACCTGTACTGCTGTTGCCCTTTCCTCCAAATTCCTGATCTGATCTGGTTGAACCATCCTTGTCTTTTCTTTTTACTGTCATCTAATGATCTCTGGATAATTCCCTGGAACCTGGCTCATGGTTCTTTATTCCTCTCCAATTCTTGCCCTTATTCTGAGTGAATTCAATTTCCATATGTGAGGGAGGTCCATCCAAAGAATCATCTCAGCAACTTGAATTCTACATCACCAAACCTAACCTCAACTCTATTTTAGTATCTTTCCCCCATGGCCGTCCTCTGGATCTCAAAAATAATTTTCTCCCTGACCTTTAGATCCAGAATATGGCCAAGGAGAGTAACCAGGAATGATAGGAGAAGCCACTTAACAGTCTGACCACTTAATTTCCTCTCTTTCTACTTCTGTCATTCCTCACACCTGTTCATCACCCATTCACCCATATCCTGAATGTCTTGTCCCCGTGATGTGCTCTTCAGGAGTTCTAACCCCAAACACCCCACAGAATTAACTGTCCTTCTTCTAAGCCACCTTGTATATCCTGATTTTATTATCATACTTGTAACGTTGAATTGCTGTTCTTTCCTTTCCAACTTGACACTTTTGTCAGCTTGTTAGGGACAAAGACCATCTCTAAAGTCAGTTTTTGTTGTTGTTACTGTAACTCAGGATATTATTTGGTTCATAGAACCAGCATTCAACATCCTCTCGTTATATTTAAAATTTAAATTAATGCTCAGATTAGGCTCAAATACAACTCTGGGGTCCAGAGAGTACCTACCATTGTGCTAAATGCTTTATTGCCATTGTAGAAAAACTGGGACTTACGCTCTTTGCTGTATTTCTAGTGGTAGCGGGAATAATGGTTTATTTTAAAATCTTCCATTCATAGCATCTTATATGCCTTTTTGTATTAATTTATTCTGTCAAATGGCTGCTGGTTAATTTGTTGGTAGTTATTGTTGTTATTGTTTAGGGCCAAAGACAAAGCTTTGGCGTACCCCAGGAAAAGACTGGTGAGTAACCTGCCACAGACTGAGCTGCTAGGAATCCGACAAACCATTATTTCCCGCCCCCTAATTTCTCACTCTTGTGCAGTCCTCCCTCTATTCTCATCTTTCTTCTCTTGTTTTTATTACTACGACAGCGATTTCAACTATGTTACTTGTTGGTAAATCATTCTTTCAACAAATATTTATTTGTTGTCATTTGTGTGTCAGGCATAATTTCTTCAGCTACCTACCTGGTTAAGAGTGATATAAAACCATGACTGTAAACATATTTGCAAACTACCATGAAAACTCAGTGGATAACACATGCTTGGAGAGCCCCATGATACACAAATCACAAATTAATGGGTAAAGAATTATTAGATTCATAAGCATGTTCAAGTTTGGTTGAAAATGTTATTTAAAAAAAATCATGTATTTAAAACACAGGTGATATATACCAAGTCAGAATTATAAGGCTTATAGAATTTTAGAGGCTGTATTTCTTCAATGATATGATTATATATCTAGATTGTATGCTTTTGAAATACAAATTACTGGATAAATATCAAATCTGAAAATGTCTTAATGAGTAATAACATTATTCACAAAGTTAATTGAGGACATGTCTTACATTTCTCTATTTCTATGTATCTCTGCCCTTGATCAGCACAATGCCTGGAAAAGAACACAGGTTTGCCCAATTACCAAGTACCCAATCTTACCCTTAGCCAATCAGGAAAATACCCAAAGTCCTGAGGATGCTATAAAATTACCTAGCTGATCCATTCAGGTCACCCTCCCATTTGGGTCCATGTCTCCTCTTATAGATAGGCATTGAGAAGTCCCCTTAATGCACAATTTACCCTGTCTTTCCTTTTCCTAAGCCTCTGCACTGAGGTCCTGGTTTCATCTTGTTATTTCTCTTCAGATCACCAATTCCCACTTATTCTGGGCCCTCATCTTCTTTAGATGCACCCAAACAAGCCCACCAGTAGTCCAGATGGTGTCCTTGTGAAGGATCAAGAAAGACATCTTTTGCTGAAATAACTAGATATCCACATGCAAAAGAATGAACTTGGACCCCTACCTCATACCATGTACAAATACTAACTCAAAATGGGTCCGAGGCCTAAATTTAAAAGCTAAAATTATAAAATTCTCAGAAGAAAACTTAGAAGTAGTAAATCTTTGTGACTTTAGATTAGGTAATTATTTGTTAGATATGACACCAAAAGCATAAGCAACAAAAGAAAAAAGAGATAAATAGAGCTTTACCAAAATTAACAATCTTAGTGCTTTTCAAAGATGTCATCAGGAAAGCGAAAAGACAACCCACAGAGTGGGGGGAAATTTATATGATAAGGGATTTTCATCCAAAATATATAAAGATCTTTTACAAATAAACAATAAAATGAAAATCCAATTTTGAATTGGGCAAAATATCTGAAAAGACAAGTCTCCAGAGAAGACATACAAATGACCAATAAGCACATGAAAAGATGTTCAGTATCATCAGTCATTAGGGAAATATTTGCAAATCAAAACCACAATGAGATACCACTTCAGACCTACTAGGGTGGCTAAAATTTAAAAAGGTAATAACAAGTGTTGGTAAAGATGTGAAAAAATTGGAACCCTTATCCATTGCTGTTGGGATTGTAAAATAATTCAGCCATGATTTTACAGTTTGGCAATTCCTTGAAAGGTTAAGCATAGAATTACCATATGATTCAGCAATTCCACTACCAGGTATACACCCAAGGAAAGTAGACACATTTGTTTACAAATGTTCATGGCATCATTATTCATAATAGTCAAAAAGTATGCCTATCAATCTATGAGTAGACAGAATAATGTGGTATATCCTTATAATTGAATATCATTCAGCAATGGAGAGGAATGAAGTACTGACTCATGCTACAAAATGGATGAATCTTGCAAACATTATGCTAAGTGATAGAAGCCAGATATAAAAGGCCATGTATTTTATTATTTCATTTAAATGAAATATCTAGAATGGGTAAATCTACAGAGACAGAAAGTTGATTGGTGATTGTCAGGGGTGAGTGTGGAGATAGGTAGAAGGGGCATAACTCCTAATGGGTAAGGATTTTTTGGTGGGGGGAGGGCTGATGAAGATGTTTTGAAGTCAGAGAGTGGTGATGGTTGCACAGCTCTGTAAAAATACTAAAGAAAAAATCACTGAGTTATACATTTCAAAATGGCGAATTTCTTTTTATGTTAATTGTATCTTAATAAAGCTGTTAAAGAAAAGAGGGGCGCCTGGGTGACTCAGTCAGTTAAGTGTCTGACTCTTGATATCAGCTCAGGTCTTGATCTCAAGGTTGTGAGTTCAAGCCCCGCATTGGGCTCCACAAAAAATTCTTGTTGGGCTCTGACAGATGATCCACATTAGCTCTGGAATTTCTTATCCAAAAAGCAGGACTTCAAACAGAAGGGATGAGTTTAGGGTTGGAATGTATGTTTCATAGATTTGTTGAAAGAATTAAAATTAAAAATTTAGTTCCCTGGGTAATAAGGACAATGTAGAAACTACCTAGTCGTATCTGGGCATAAGACAAGGTTAGTTTAAACTCTGATCGATATGATTATTGAAAAAGGAGTGGAATTGTATCTAGGTTTTGTTTCTTTAAATCTCTGATGTGAGCTGTATTGCTTTAGTAAAGAATTTTTTTGTTTCTTGAAGAAAATTTTAGAAAATATATGGTTCTATTTTCTGCCTTCATTAAATAAGAAGACCATTTGTCCCATGTCCAAGGCATTTACCACCATTTGACAGGATAGTGCCCTCAGTTCAGACTTTTCAAGGAATTAATATTCTTCCTGAAAGTTAAATACACAAATCTAAACATTCCAAATGACTTCTTAAAAAAATAAAACACATAAAAGAAACAGACTAAATTTAGAAGGACTTAAAAGAGATATTATTAAACATACTTGGTTTAATTTGTAGGTAACTCAATCATATGGGAAAGAAACGCCATACACTGATCTTCTGATGCACGTGGATTTCTATGTGATGCCAGTAGTTAATGTGGATGGTTATGACTTTACATGGAAAAAGGTAGGTGAAGGCAAAGAAAACAAAGCATACCCTATTTGGGGATACAGGATGCACAGGCTGAATCATTCACAGAATCGTGGATCTTGGCACAGTGGTTTGGTTTAAATATACATATAATTATTTTTTAATTTAATTTTATTATATTATGTATACATATAATTAAATTCTTATTATGGAAAAGCTCAAACATATGAATGGAAATCCTTGCACAGTAAACTCCTTTGTGCCCATCACACAACTTCATCAGTAATTAGTTCATGGCCAGGGGCACCTGGATGGTGCAGTTGGTTAAGGGGTTGGCTCTTGGTTTTGGCTCAGGTTCTGATCTCAGGGTCATGAGATCGAGCCAAGTATCAGGCTCTGCACTCAGCATGGAGTCTGCTTAAGACTCTCCCTCTGCTCCTCCCCCTGTGTTTGCTCTCTCTCTCTCTCAAATAAATAAATAAATAAATAAATAACTTTAAAAAAATAAAATAATCAACTCATGGCCAATGTTTTCTCACGTATATCTCCAAACCAATTCTATCTTATTATATTATTTTGAAGCAAATCTCAGACACCATATCATTTCATCAATAAATATTTCAGGACGCATCTCTGAAAGAGATCTTTAAAAAAAAAAACATGGTACAACTGTACCTAAGAATTAACGATACTTAATATCATAAAATGTCCATTTGATATTTAAATTTGTAATTGCTACATAACTTAAAAAAGTTTTTTCTTTGATTCAGGATCCAATTAAAGCCAATATATTATGATTGGTTTAGATAGCTTTTAATTCTATTTCAATCCATAGATTCTCCTGCCATCCCTCTCTTTCTCTCTCTCTCAGTTTTTTCTTTGCAATTTATTCATTGAAGAAAAGGTTTCCCATTGTCTGAATTTGCTCATTGCATTGCCATGTTGCAATTTTACGTTCCTCTGTCCTCTGCTTTCTTAAAACTTGAAATTTGGATTGTAGAGGATAAACCAGATTCAGGTTTGACTGTTTTGGGCAGGACTACTTCATTGTGATTCTGTATTCTGCATAATGTCTGATTGTATTTCCTTTGTGATGTTAGCTGCCATCAATACACAATGCCTGGATCCATCCATTCTTACTAGGAATCCTTTGCATAGCATTTTGATTTATAAAATCATAAATTGCAAGATTTAGAAAAGCATCCTAACGGCACTTGCATTCTGGTAGAATCGCATTCTAACTGATATGTGATTTTAAGCCTTAGGACCCTTTAATTTAGTGATGAGCATCTACATATGAGTAAGTTTCCTGGTCAATCTAATCTATACTGGAAACCATTATCAATGGTTATTTCTAGCCCATCAACATCATGATTCAGGAAAATTACTCAAGCAATATAAGTGCTGTCCTTTCTAATGTAATGAGGAGCACATAAAACATAATTGAGCATATATAAGTTCAGAAAAGCCTCCTTGAGCAGCACATGTAAATACCGAGGAGAATAATCAGACTGATTGGAAACATACAGGATTAAAGAGAAGTTGTTTTATGCAGGAGGTAATTTTTGCAAAAGAAATGGGAATGGTGAAGAGGATTGGCTGAAAAAGTCATCCCAAGTGAAAGGAATACTGTGAATATAAGTTTGTAGGGAGGAGTGGGCAAATCCTGAACTAAATAAATGAGAAATCCCTAGCATAGTTCCTAACATAAATTTGGGTTCAGTAAATGATCATATTGGGGCACCTGGTTGGTTCAGTCGGTTCAGTCTTGGACTCTTGATTTCGGCTCAAGTCATGATCTCGGCTCAGGTCATGATCTCAGGGTCCTGAGATCAAGCCCCATATCCAGCTCCATGCTCAGTGGGGAATCTGCTTGAGATTCTCTCTCTCTCTCCCTCTCCCTCTCAAATAAATAAATAAATAAATAAATAATCAATCACATTCACAGATTGGTATTACAATAAATTTATTCTTTCACTGAATCATGGTAGAATTCAGCCACACTTTAGATATTGCTACTCCCCCACTGTCCTTTGTATCTTAACACTGCCAATTTGTCCCTGCAGTTTGAGAACCTAATTTCTCCAGGGCAATTCTTGCTACCAGACCACAGGCCAGGGGTTGGAAGCAGACTGGGAAGCTTTCCAGAGGGTTGGTGAGAGCAGGGAGAAGGGTACCACGTCATCCCAACCCCAGGATTGAAACGATGTTTGTGCAACTGTTTACATGGTCAAATTTCTCAGTTTGCCCCAAGAATCCAATGGGGGAATTTGCTTTATGTTTACAAATGAGGATTGAATCAGTGCGATCAAAGGAACCATCAGGCTACAGGTGTCTTCACAGCTCTACCTCTTGAAGCTTTTAAATGAGAGAGTTGAATTCAGTCTAAAGGGAACATTGAAACTCATGACTCATAGTTTTAATTTTTGTTGAAACACAAAGTTATTTTACTTTTCTCAGAAGAAATTAAAATTAGAGCAAATAAGATTAAAGAAAACCAATAAGCAGCCTAGCAAAACCAAATGAAATTTCTGTTGGTATAGGTCAAAACTGATCAAATATTACCATTTCATTCGGTTCAGACTGAAATAGTTTTGAGGGAATGTAATTGAGACCTGGATGGAGACAAGGGCTGTGAGAAAGGAATGCTGTGAAGATCGTGACAGCTGGGGGCGCCTGGGTGGCTCAGTCTTTAAGCGTCTGCCTTCGGCTCAGGTCATGATCCCAGCAGGACCCTGAGAACCAGTCCAGTATTGGGCTCCCTGCTCAGCGGGAGGCCTGCTTCTCCCTCTCCGACTCCCCCTGCTTGTGTTCCCTCTCTCGCTGTCTCTCTCAGTCACATAAATAAAGTCTTTAAAAGAAAAAAAATCATGACAGGTGGAGTGATGGGTTTTCGGGAGAGACACACAACCCTGCCCACTTAGGCTTTAGAAGTCGTGTCTCTGCTTGAACTAGGAACATGGCCATCCTGGTTATCAGTATTTTGTTTATTTAGAATCGAATGTGGAGAAAGAACCGGTCCTTGCATGAAAATAATCGTTGCATCGGAACAGACCTCAACAGGAACTTTGCTTCCAAACACTGGTGTGGTAGGTTATTCGCTTCATTTCTAGCAATGTTTATTCATTTAAAAAGGGATATTCATAAAGAAAGGCTCATAATTCAAAGTAATTAGAGGGGAGGCCTATCTGAATCAGGATATAATTTAATAAACGTTTTAGATAAATGTGATGCTGTGCATGTGCACAGCTCACCTTAACCTCTCTGCCCTACGATTTCATCTTTAAAAAAAAAAAAAAAAGGAAATTGGACCAGTTCCTTAAGGTCCTTCTAGTTTCAAAATTCTAAAATTCTACTTTTCTAGAATAGTAAGGAAGTGACTGTTAAAAGTCCTACTTCAATGAACAAATAACATTCATCAGTAGGGTTTCAAAGTAGGATTGGGGGTGGGTACCTCTCCTTTTTAATTGCATAAGAAAATATTCACTTCGACAGCATTCAAAAACATTTTCTTTGGTTTTCACTATTTACCTAACAGGAATTTTTCTTTCATGAATGTCATAAACTTATGTCTAGCATAATGGGAGCTTATTCATTGTTCTGAATGAGTTAAAGTACTCAGTGAATATTGATTTAGGCATTCAAGAATATTGTCTGCTCTCAGGGAGGTAGGTGGTGGTTTGCCTTTCCCCCATTGTATCTCATAGTTACTACATTTAAGAAAGAGCTACAAAACAAAACTAAACCTAATAATGATCTTGAATCATCTTCATTTTTGGAAGTGGGTACATGTGGCTCTGTGGGGACTAGAAGATATTGAAAGTGACTGAAGCCACAAAACCCCGCTTCTAACCACCCTTTGCCTTACACAATGCTATATACATGATTGTACCTATTCCCTTTTTAAAAAAAAGAAGGGAAGTTTTGTGATTTTGAACATTTCATCATTATCTCAGAATCCACATGAAAACTTCACAAGAGAGTACTTACCTTATTTCCTTAATTCCTTCCTTCTCTAGGTTGGAAACTCCGTGAGGGAAGGGACCATTATCCATTACCTAGTGCAATGCCTGGCACATGCAGCATTGCCAGAAATTACTTAAATGCATAAAGGAATGAATGAATTGTTCTAAGAGAGCTGCAGATGTAATAAGCAAGCAGAGGAAAGGGCAGTTAATCCTGCCTTGGGCTCACTCCTTTTGTGATTAAGGGAATTACTTAGTGGTTTCTCCGTGAGAGCCATTCTTAAGATTGTCCAATAAGAGTGCCCATTGAAGCCCAAAGACTGCCACAGCAGCGATAACTGGGCAGGAAGTCAGAGAAGAAGCAACAAATATGAAATAGGTCTGAATAGAGCTGATGGTTACTAAGTGCTGAGCTGTTTACATATGTCTCCCCCTAGGTTTCATTATCTATGTATCCTGGATGGAGAATTCCAGCCTTAGAAGGTCAGTCCCATGCTTAAGAGCACAGACCTAGGAAGAGGCAGAGCTAGGATATAAAGCCAGGCTGACTGACTCCAAAGTTATCGCAATTCTTCTCAGAGAATCACCCCTCTATTATAAGTTCCCAATTGGAATTTCTTATTTTATCTTCATGCTCTTTTGGTGCTCTGTCTTACTTAATATTTTTTTATGGTGAAGTCAGTACTACCCATTTTGAATAATCAAGATGGCAAATATATCCTGTTATTGCCCTCAAGACATATGGTAGTCCCTCTGAGGCATGGCACTATGTTATTACCTGTCACAAGAGTTAAAAACAGAAACAGAAGCAGCAAGCATACAGACAAAAGAGAGTGCCAAATAAAACAAAAACTAATTGCAAGAATTCTTTTTTTTGTCCAGTGCCCCAGTATCTCTTTAGTACTATGTAAGCAGGCCAGTGAGAAAGAATTAAATCTTATCTCCTCCTTGTTCATGCACCTAGAACATGCCTTTATGATACTTTTTTAAGAATCTAAAAGAGCACCTTACTTATTAACAAGAATTGACATATCAAGGCTGTTTATTTCATGTTCATTTTCCCCTTCCTCTGTATTAAAATTGTGTGCGTGTGCATATGCACGTGTGTGTGTGTGTGTGTGTGTGTGTGTGTGTTAGAGATGAGAATGGGGGTGAGGTTGCCTTAGACCACTCAGGCGGCCATAACAAAATACCACAGGCTGAGTGGCTTCAACAAGGGAAATTTATTTCTTGCAGAGCTGAAGGCTGGAAGTCCAAGATGAAGGTGTCAGCTGGGTGGGTTTGTCCGGAGGCCTCTCTCCTTGGCTTGCGGATGGTCACCTTTTCACTGTGTTCTCACAGTGTCTCTTCTTAAAAGGACACCAGCCATATTAGATCGGGGTCCCACCTTTATGACTTTCTTAAACCTTAATGACCTCCTTAAAGGCCCTATCTCCAAACCTAGTACATTGTGCGTTAGGGCTTAAACATATGAATTTGCGGAGGGGCAGAATTCAGTCTATAACAGGGAACATTTTGTGAGGACGTCTGGTCTCAAACTTCCTGAGAGAGATCCACTTATTTTCTAAACTGCTAAGTTAAACTACAAAATGTTTATAACCGATGTACAGTAGAAAATCCTTTATTTCTTTTCCTATGAGACCATAGTGTCTTTTCATCATTTTTATGGTACTAAAATATATATAACACAAAATTTGTCATTTTAACCATTTTTAAGTGTACAGTTCAGTACATTGAGGCATTAAGTACATTCACGGTCTGGGAAACCATCACTAATATCCATTTCCAAAACTTCTCATCATCCCAAACAGAAACTCTGTGACCATTAAGCAACGTCTTCTCATTCCCCCCTCTCCTGCAGCCCCTGGTAGTTTCTACTCTACTTTCTGCCCTTACGAATTTTCCTCTACTAGGCCTGTAGATCAGAGAATGCTTGAGCTTGAAGGGACCTGGTACACCAGGTGTCTCTTGGTACAAAAAGAGCACCTTCAGCTGAGAGAGATGAAGTAGCTTGCCCAGATGAACATGCCTGTTTCATGGCAAAGCAGATCTCAGACTCAAGTTTCCTGACTCTCCATGAGTCTTCCTACCAAAATACTTGAAATCTCCAGAATGGCAGTCACAGAAGGAGAATTCTGTGACTGCACTGTCTGTGTCTATTACAGTAGTAACTAGTGGCAGCTGAGCCCTTGAAATGTGGCTTGTATGAATTGAGATGTGCAGTGAGGGTAAAATACACACCAGATTTCAAAGACTTGGCCTAAGAAAAGTAACATAAAACAGGTCATGAATAATTTTTATATTGATTCCATTTGAAATGGTAGTACTTTGTACATATTGGGTTAAATAAAGTGTATTAATAAAATAGGTTCACCTGGGTTTTTTTTTTTTAATGATTGAAAAATAAATCCTGTGACTTGCTTCATGTATCTATGGAAGAGCTCTGGTCTGAGGATTCACGTGAGGGCACCACCTCCTCCTTCATTTCTTTCATGTCCTCCCCTGTCTCTACTCCTAACATAGAATCTCTGTTCTCTAGAACTATATATCAGGGGGAAAAGGGCAGGAGTAATCAAAGGGGACAGAACTATGAAAACGGTTCAGCTGATCACATTATTGGTTAAAAATTAATACAAATGAAGTACTTGGAAAAGCCTTGGATGTTTAGCACAACATTTTCTTGTAGGGAAAAGAATGTTTCACAAACATTAAGGTTGTTTCTATTGCAAATAAAAGGAAGAAAGCAGAGCAAGCTTAAATAAGGCAGGCAAGCCCTGGAAGGTTAATGGAGTAGCCCATGCGACCTGAGGACAAGGATGCAGCTGAGCCTCAGAAATAGCCTGGAACTGGCCCTCAGCACTGCAGTGGGCTCCGTGAGTCCTTCCTCTCCCCATTCATCACTGTGAGGCATACTGGATTCTTTTTTTATTCCAGTCCGGATGATGATGACGATGATGATGATGATGATGACGACGACGACTACAAAGGGGAGAAACTGTAGTCACTGAACACTTAGTATAGACAAGGCACCATGCGAAGCACTTCATATGCATTAGCTCATTGAATCCTCATTAAGTATATAACTTTCCCACTTAGCAGATAAAAAAATCAAGGTGTAGATAGGTTTACAACATTTTATCTAAGGCCATATAGCTATTAAATGGCAGCGCCAAGATTAGAATCAAGTGATTGGATGACTAAAAATATGCCTATGCCGCTTAGCCTCTTATTGTAAAGGGCCATCACTACCAAGAATGTTCACTTTGTATCTCCTGAAATAGCAGTATTTCCTTCATGGGGTTGCATGAGGATTAAGTGAGATATTGCGTGTAAATCTTAGAGTTCGTGTCAGCAGGTGATGTTACTGGTATTGTCTTCTTTGTTCTAGAGAGCAGCTAGACTGACACCAGAATCTTCATCTCAATTTCAAGTTATCAGTGGAGGGATTCAGATTGACAGAACACAAGTTAAGGATCCAGTTCAGGATTAATCAACTGTTTCCAGGAGGGAATAATGTTTGGGGTCAGAGATGGCTCCCTGGGGCTCCACCTCGGTGCATTAAGGAAGAAAACTACCATCTGAAGTGATGTATACTATAATCTCTCAAAAGTATGAATAAATATTATGCTGGCCCCCAATATCACCATTTTATTCTGTTTACCAGACTTCTTTATTTAGCAAGTTAGAAGTAGCACTGAAGGCAGACTTGGATATTCTGAATTCCCAAATGAGACTTGTCTTTTATGGGCTATATTGATTAGTAACTTTTAAACTACAAATACCAGAAAAACCAAACTCACAAAGGATTAAAGAAAATGAGGTTTCTAAAAAAATGGTTTGTTTTTTTTCTCTCATATAGCCACGAGTTTGGAGGCAGGGCTGGCTGGCATCGCTGAGATTTCCTTTCACAAAGGGTACAAGATGGCTGCCCCCAGGCAGCAACTGTTGGGGTGTTTGCTATGAGGGCATAAAAATATTTCCTTCAGGGGCGCCTGGGTGGCTCAGTTGGTTAAGCGACTGCCTTCGGCTCACGTCATTATCCTGGAGTCCCGGGATCAAGTCGCATGGGGCTCCCTGCTCAACGGGGAGCCTGCTTCTCCCTCTGACCCTCCCCACCTCATGTACTCTCTCTCTCTCTCTCTCTCTCATTCTCACTCTCTCAAATAAATAAATAAATAAATCTTTAAAAAAATATTTACTTCAAAAGAAATATAAATATGTTCTTTACAGAGTTCTATCTAATCCATTTCTCTAAAAATGTTGCACCATAGATATTCAGAAAAGGCACTGTCAGGGAAATCACAAATTACAATAGCATATGCATCCCCTCTAATCCCATTCTATCAATTTCACTTCAGGGGAAGGTGCATCAAGTTTCTCATGCTCAGAAACCTACTGTGGCCTGTACCCTGAATCAGAACCAGAAGTGAGGGCAATGGCTAATTTCTTGAGAAAAAACATCAACCATATTAAGGCTTACATCAGTATGCATTCATACTCCCAGCAGATACTGTTTCCATATTCCTATAATCGAAGCAAAAGCAAAGACCATGAGGAACTGGTAAGTGCTACTTATTTTTTTCATTGGCATTTCAGAAATAAAATAATACCTAGCTCAAGAATAAAAAACTGTGGGAAAAAATTTCTCCTTTGGACGACAGAGGGAAAGATGGTTTATATTTTGGTGTCACTCTGCTGAGAGTCATCCTGGGTCAGGGTTCACTGAGGGAATGTAAAGAACAGGTCCGACCCTGTGGACGTGAACTTTAGTCCAGCAGATGGGTCCCTAAGAAAATGTCAGACATATTGCTTGAACGTCAGGTTTGAACTATTCCACATGAAGCTGAACTACATATAAAACCATAAAAGCAAGGACAAGAGTCTCTGGAATTGTGGGTCTGCTTTGTGGTAACTAGCTTTCTACAACAGCCTGACATAGATCAAGTCCTGGTACAACACTCATCAATCTAATACCAGCATCGGGAATTGTGTACACACTCACCTCCCTAACCCCCCGAGGTTTGGTCCTATTAAAAGCACCTCCAATGTCAACATTTTGGAATGTAGTAGAAGATACAGGAAGTTCGAAGAGGATTCATATAACCTGCTAACCTCTCACTGCTTTTTGGTCCCAGATGTTTTATGTTTGGGTTGATGACAAAGAATATAAGAGTTCTTGATCTGTTGTAGCTAGGATGGGCCACATTCTTACCCCAGATGCTTTCCAGACCATGGAAGGGTTATGGTGACAGTCTGACTCTTGGCCAAGGTCTGATCTTTATGTAGTGGTTTGTTTCTTACTAACTCCTTTTGTTCTGGTTCTCTTTTTTTCCTTTCTCTCTCCTTTCATTTTAATTTTTATTTGTTTTTGTTATTGAAGTATAGTTGGCATAAAATGTTACATTAGTTTCAGGTGTACAACATAATGATTCCACAGTTCTATACATTATGCTCATCACAGTAAGTGTAGTTACCATCTGTCACCATATAACATAATTACAATATTATGACTATATTCCCTATGCTGTACTTTTTATTCCATGACTTATTTATTTTATAACTGGAAGTTTGCACCTCTTAATTCCCTTCACATAGTTCATCCATCCTCCCAATGCCTCCCCCCTCCTCTGGCAGCCACCAGTTTCTTCTCTGTATTTATGATTCTGTTTCTGTATTTTTGTTTGTTCATTTGCTTTGTTTTTTAGATTCCACATGTAAGTGAAATCACACGGTATTTGTCTTTCTCTAACTTATTTCACTTAGCTTAATACCCTCTAGGCCCATCCATGTTGTTGAAAATGACAAGATCTCATTCTATTATATGGCTGAATAATATTTCATTGCATATATGTACACCCCACATCTTCTTTATCCATTCATCTATCAACAGATACTTAAGTTGTTTCCATAACTTGGCTATTGTAAATAATGCTGCAATAAACAGAGGGGTCATATATCTTTTCAAATGAGTGTTTTCATTTGCTTTGGGTAAATACCCAGTGGTGGAATTACTGGATCACATGATATTTTTATTTTTAATTTTTTTGAGGAACCCCCCCATACTGTTTTCCATAGGAGTCACACCAATTTACATTCCTACCAGAAAGTGCACAAGAGTTTCGTTTTGACCACATCCATACCAACACTTGTTATATCTTGTATTTTTGATAATAGCCTTTCTGACAGGTGTAAGGAGATATCTCATTATGGTTTTGATTTGCATTTCCCTGATGTTTGGTGATGTTGAGCATCTTTTCGTGTATGTGTTTGCTGCCTGTATGCCTTCTTTAGCAAAATGTCTATTCAGGTTCCCTGCCTATTTTTTAGATTATTTGTGGATTTGGGTTTTGTTTTGATTTTGTTTTTGTTGTTTTGGTGTTGATGTGTATGTCCTGGTTCTCTTACAAGAATAAACTATAGCCACATTAGGGGCTAGCAGTTGCTGATAATAAATATAAGGTTATTTGCATTTTCTGAAAATAGCTCATTTAGAACATAAACACATCTGATACTTGCAATTCTTTCTTCTTCTCAAGAGAAAACTTTTAAGGAAAGCTCCTTTATTGGTGTTATCCTTGAAGAATGGGAGGCTATTTATCCTGATTTGGAAATAGAATTAGTCTGATTTCCCTTATTTTTGGATTACTGTTATCACTAGCAGTTGTTGAGAGTTATTTTGTGTAAAATATTGTGTTTGGTGGACATTAGAAGAAGCATTAGGTGGGACCCTGCCCTTTAAGAGAACATGATATGGTTAGGGAGCTCAGTCATTAGCAAATGTTACAGATTGCTGTATCCTAAGTGCAGTAACTACTAAATAAGTGGCACAGATGGTAGACTTCAATTCTGACTGGGATAGCAGGGGGTGGCCTCATTAACTGATTCAGAAGGAAATGCTAGAAAAGCCAGGGGATAAAGTCCTTGTTCTTGAGGGATTTATCATCTATTAAGGGGTGACATATTGTAAAGAAAAAAAATAATAATAAAGCGCTATTGACATCAAAAAACAGATCCATTTTCAGCCAGAAATGGAAAGATAGGAATTCTAGAGACAGGCAAGGAAGGGAGGACATTGAAAGCTGAGGAAATGTGTTCCCCACAGGAAGTATGTTCAGGTATGGGGGGTGTGTTCAAGTGTGTGGGGGTGTGAAAGTGGCAAGTGACATCATCAGAAAGTAGATGTGGTCAGTTTGTTTGTATGTCAGAATGAATTTGTATTTCATTCTGTAGACAATGGAGTTCCATTAAAAATTTTTTTAACAAAGGAATGCCGCAATGTAATATGCGCTGATATTCCTCTACGTTACTTAAGAGAGTGTCAGTGAGTACTAGCATCAACCTCATAAAAGATCTGGATAAGGTAGAACCAAATGTAGTAGAATAAGGGATTTATTTATTAGCCTATCCCATACTGGCACATGATCCTTTTTACCTGATGAGTCTTTAGGAGTTATTAGACATTTTACACATGAAGACAATAGTCTGTGAGAAGGAAATGATCTACGCATTAGGTATATGTAGTATTTCGAGAAGTCACATTTAAAGTTTGGTGATAATTTGGGGGTGCCTGGGTGGCTCAGTTGGTTAAGTGTCCAACTCTTGATTTTGGCTCAGGTCATGATCTCAGGGTTGTCATATTGAGCCCATTTTCAGGCTTTGCACTCAGCGCTGAGTCTGCTCCAGGATTCTCCCTCTCCCTCTGCTCCTCCTCCCCAATAAAGAATTTAATTTATTTATTTGACAGAGAGAGAGAGAGAGACAGTGAGAGCTGGAACACAAGCGGGGGAGTGGGAGATGGAGAAGCAGGCTTCCCACCAAGCAGGAAGACCGATGTGGGACTCGATCCCAGGACCCTGGGATCATGACCTGAGCCAAAGGCAGACGCTTAACGACTGAGCCACCCAGGCGCCCCTAAATAATTTAATTTAATTCTCTAAAAAAATAAAGTTTGGTGATAATTTTGTGTAGGAATAGGGTAACCCCAGGCTGTTTGCCTTTGAAATAGAGTTGTACTTCATTTTATATAAGTGGATTCCTGAAGACCAAAAAGCATGTGAGAATTATTTTTCCTTCAATTTAAATAAAATTTTCAATGTATTGGAAGAGTCTATGTTTAAAGCCACCCAATTGTGATTTCCATAAAGCGAAAAAATATTTGTTAAAGTTTATTTATTCTTACCGTGTAGATTTTTCTTTTTTTTTATTTTATTTATTTATTTGGCAGAGAGATACAGAGAGAGAACAAGTAGGCAGAGAGGCAGGCAGAGGGAGAGGGAGAAGCAGGCTCCCCGCTGAGCAGGGAGCCCGATGCGGGGCTTGGTCCCCAGACCCTGGGACCATGACCTGAGCCGAAGGCAGCCACTTAACGGATTGAGCCACCCAGGTGCCCCTGTGTAGATTTTTTCATATGCACAGTTTTCTTCTAGCTCTATTCAGCTATAATTGATGTATAACATTGTATAAGTTTAAGGTGTACAATGTGATGAATTGATACACTTACACATTGTGAAATGATTACCACAATAAAAGTAGTTAACACAGCCATCACCTTACATAATTGCAACTTTTTCTTTTGTGGTGAGAACATTTAAGATCTACTCTCTCAGCAACTTTCATGTATATAAAATAGTGTCCTTAACTATAGCCACTATGCTGTGTGTTAGATCCCCAGAACTTATTCGTCTTATAACTGGAAATTTATAGCCCATGACCAACATCTCTGCATTGCATTCACACCCCAAGCCCCTGGCAACCACCATTCTACTTTCTATTTCTTCCTATACACAGTTTGATTCAATTAACATATGATTGTTTTATTAAGAAACTTCTACCTGTCCCGCTTCAAAGCTGCACATTAACTGAAATTCCATATTCTATTGATTTCAGTCCCTAGTGGCCAGTGAAGCAGCCCGTGCTATTGAGACTACTAATAAAAATATCAGATACACTCATGGCAGTGGTTCAGAAACTTTATGTAAGTATTTCTTCTTAAGATCTGGAGAATTGTGAGGTACTAAAGAAATCTGTGTGTTTGGTTTTTCTCTGTGGGTTTAATTTTTCTAAATGGAATCTTCGAACAAGGTCACATGTAAAATAGTTGAATTACAACAATTAGAAATGGAAGCATAATAGCTATGAGAGCACTGAACAAGGTTATATTAATAAATGAATACCCTCAGAAGAAGCCAAAATGATATTTAAGAAATCATGTTCATTGCAATAGAGCAGAGATTATAGAATTGGCATCACACTGGTTGAGTGAAGCAGGAAAGGTCATAAAGGGCCAAAAGAATGTATAAGATGTCCAGGGTTCCCAAGAAAAGTTGTACAGGTTGAACACTATACAAATCTAGGGAACATTTTTACATTAAATGCCTTATAATAACACACTGTGCCCACTAAAGCACACTATATAGTTAAGTGTCTTTTGTTTGTATAACACTGATAACAGCTTGTATGTGGCAAACTCTTAAGAATATTTTCAAATTTAATTTCTGCTGGCAGATATTTATTGAGGGACTCTTTTTAGGATGACAATGATTTTTTTTTTTGAAGCCAGAGGAGGAAATGGAAAAAGAGGAACAGAAAATAAACATGTAACCAGGTGTCAGCAAACTATGACCCATAGGCCAAATTCAGCCCACCGCTTGTTTTGTATCACCTGTGAGATAAGAATAGTTTTTCCATTTTTAAAAGATTTATTTATTTATTTTAAAGAGAGAGAGAGAGAGAGAGAGAGAGAGAGAGCAAGTGAGGGGAAGGGCAGAGGGAGAGAGAGAATCCCAAGTAGACTCCATGCCTAGCATGGAGCCCGATGAGGGGTTGGATCTCACAACCTTTAGATCATGACCTAAGCAGAAATCAAAAGTCTGACGTTTGACTGACTGAGGCACCCAGACACCCTAGTTTTTCCATTTTTTAAAAGGTTTAAAAAAAAGATTTTGTGACATGTTAAAATTATATGAAATTCAAATTTCAGTATTCGAAAATAAAGTTTTATTTGAACACAGCCACACCCATTTATTTATGTATTGTTTATGATAGCTTTCACGATAGTAGAGTTGAGTAGTTGTGACATACTTTGTGGGCCACAAAGCCTAAAATACTTAGTATCTAGTCCTTTGGAGAAAAAGTTTGCAAATCTCTGATGTAAACAATGAAATAGTCAAATATAGTATAATCCCATTGAGAAGTGAAGAAAATAAAATAGGCTTAAGGGTTTGAGAATGGCTGCAGGAGAGAGGCTACTTAGCTAAAGTGGCCTAGGAGGGTCTCTCTCTCTGTAGGTGACACTTCTGGGAGACCTACCTGATAAGTGTCTGACAAACAGTGATATATGGGGAAAACCAGGGAGAAAAAATGGGTTGTGAGAAGGCCCTGAGACAATATTCAAAGCCCCCAAATTTTCTTTAACAGGTATGATCTACAGGAATATAAAAACACACTCATCTTAATAATCACATTCATATTATTTTCAATAAATTGCTTGAGCACCAGATGCCCTATTAGTAGAAAGTCCAGAATCTTCCTCTTCCACCTCAACAACCCCAAAATATCTCAGAACAAAGTGGGGCCAGATTGGTCCACATGGTATCTCTGTCTCTTGGTATCACTGGCCCACTGCTGCCTTTGCTGACCCAGGTCCTTGCTCTGTCAGAGAGGGACCCCACAACTTCCTTTCACAATTCAGAGCTTTCTTGATTTTCATCCTCTTCTCTACCATTGCTCCCCAAAGCATAACCACAGGTGTCTCAGGGCTAGAGAGCTTACAAAGCAACTTTCTGGTGTGATGAAATCGGTCCATCTCTACACATTCATTCATTCAGTCAGTATACATCTATGAGAATCTGTTCATAAGCATGAGAAAATGGCTGGAAGAAGAAAGGCCAAATACTGATAGTGGTTGTCAGAAATATTTGCTGAATAACTCATTAATCCACTGCTGATGGATATTTTTAGTATTATAAACAATGCTTTGGTAAACACTTTTGTAGTTCATTTAAGTATAGGCATTAGAAAGAGGCAAAAATGATCACTTCACATATTATATGATTGTCTACCTGGAAAACAATAGAAATCAACCAGAAATATTAGTAACAATCAAAAGTTGAAGGTGGCTGAATATGAACTAAATATACAGAAATCTAAAGCTCTCTTATATACCAAAAATAATCAGGTAGAAAATAAAATGAAAAAAAGATCCTACTGCCCCTCTTTATGTACAAATATACACATTGCACACATATATACATACAGATACGTATATGTGGATTCATTGTTAAATGTATGTGTGTGGGTACACATACAAATCAATATATTTATATGAAAAACCTAGAAAATTTTACTGCTATACATAAAAGAAGATAAATAAAAGGAGAAACCTACCATGTTTTTGAGTAGGAAAGCAAAATAAAAATGTGTCAGTCATGCTAAATTAATCTGTATATTTAATGCAATCCCAATGAACAGTTAAATGACTTTGAATTTCTTTTGAAAGAATGGATTTGGTAGAAGAGCTTGTAAGATTCTGAAAAATGAGACTAATAAGAGAGAATTTGCTCCAACAAGGTATTAAGGTACATTATAAACTTAGAGTAATTAAGATTGTGGAGCTGAGCCAGGAAAAGACAGATCAACAGGAGGGAATAGTGAGAACAGAAAGACACTTAAATATATTAGGGCATCTTATTTCTCATAAAGGAGGCATTTCTAAGAATGTTAGTTATTCAATTAATAGGATTGGAAAACCTGACAAGTTACTCAGAAAAAGAAATTAATTGATTTACTAACATATATTTCTCTAAAATAAATCCTAGATAGATAAAATATTTTAATATAAACACTCTGCCAAAAACCAAGTTGAAAGCTAAATAACCAAATAAGAAAAAAATTCAAATATTACACAAAGCAAATTCAAATTTACACTAATGTTGCTGTTATAAACAATCTATAAAATCAATTGAGCAGAAAAATAAGCAAAGACAACTGATAAAAAAATATAAAGATGGACAATAAATATACCAAATAAAATGTTCGGCTCAGTGGTAATCAAATAAACAAAATAAGATGATTCAATATTATTTTTCACCCATAATACTGCCAGAAATGCATAATTCCTGTGCATGGTATGGGAGGGAGAAGTGGGCAAATTCATACCCTGCTAGTATGGAGATGTAAATTGGTTCAATTATTTTGAAGGTTATTTGGGAACATGTAGCATAATTGTAAAAAGTACATAGGCTAGTGAACCTACTTCTAGGGAAGAATATTGTAGAGAAACAAGCAATTAGTAAAAACAAAAAAGGACATTGTCAAGTTGTTTATATTAATTAGAAATTAGAAAAACAATTCTAAATGTCTCCAAGTAAATATTGAACTTAATTATATCCAGCTTTACAATGTAGTGCTATGAGATCATGAAAAATGATAATGTAGATTTGAAGTTATTGATACATAAAGCTGGTCAGATAGATTATGTGTAGAAATACTACAAAACTGCATGTATAGGATGATCTTATTTCCATAGGAAAAATTTAAGGATGTTAAAGCATGCACTGAGGAAAAAAATAACACTAAAATGTTACTGGTGATTATTACTCCTTGGCAGAGATATGGGTAATTTTTATTTTCTTCCTTAACCTGTTTTTCTTCAATCTCCATTTTCTACCAGCAACTTAGATTACTTAATAATCAGAAAAAAGCAGAGCTATTTTTAGGGGAAAAAATCCATTTTGTTAGTTAACTTGAAACATCTGTATTTCAAAAAGTAATTTCTTTTTTCTTCTTGTAGACCTAGCTCCTGGAGGTTCAGATGACTGGATCTATGACTTGGGCATAAAATATTCGTTTACAATTGAACTTCGAGATAAAGGCAGATACGGATTCTTGCTGCCAGAGCGTTACATCAAGCCCACTTGTAGAGAAGCTTTCGCCGCTATCTCTAAAATAGTTGGGCATGTCATCAAGAATGTTTAATGTCGTTAATTTTTTCACTCTTCTCCCATATTTTAGTTTACTGGTTCCAACAGGACCAAATCATTGTACCCGTTCTTCTGAAATTTGATCAGTAGTTTTGAGAAAAGGTTTTCCTATTCTTTGCTTTTGTCACAGAACAAAATAAATGTTACCTTAAAATTAAGGCAGAAAAAGGCTCACATTTCTTTTTCCTTTTTAAAAAATTTTTAAGAGGCTAGATAGAGATTTTGATTCAGGATGTTTGACTACCCACCTCAAGCAATTTTAATAACTAGTTTCTTGCAGATCATTGGACCACAAAAGAAGAGGTGGTTAGAAGTACGTTAAAGATTTCTGCTCCAAATTTTCAGTGAACTGCTTGCGCCTTTAAAAACACAGCCGTGTATGCTTTGCTCCACAGTAATAAGCGATGGCCCAGAAAGCGGAGTGTCAAAAACAGGACAAATATCCCCTGTCACTGCTCAGTAAACATTGTTGAGCAAATGAATGAACAGCTGTAGTTATTTTCAACAACAGATGTAGCATTTACAACAGCTGTTTATTGTAAGAAATTATGTAATAAAAGAAGTAAACTCTCTCTCTTAAATTCACTTTTTATCGTAAATTTTGGCTCTCCCTGGCTCAGAGATTCCACTCCAAAGGTCCCTTCACAAAGCACCAATTTGAGGATTTCCACTGCACTCCTACGAGCCGACGTTACGCCCAGGGGCGTGTCTCCGGAGGGGCGGTGCCTGCGCGCTGACGACTAATCTGGCGGCCGGAAGCTGCTTCGGGTCCACTGGGGATCAGGGAAAACACTTGACTTCCGGCGGCATTTTGAGTCGATCTTCCTATCGGCTTGTTAGTGTTTTCGTTGCTTTTTCTTGCTCTCCAGCCTCTCTTCCTTCATTTTCGTCCTACATCTCAGTCTCACTTGACCCTGGCGAAGCGGCGGGCGGGTTCTGCTTCTCAGCTGCCCCGGGGTCCTCTCGCTAGCGAAGGGCCGGTTCCCGGGAGCCGCGCGCGCACCTCCTTCTCCTCGTCGTCGTCTTCCCGGGGCCAGGCGCGGGGACAGAGAGTCGCCTCCCCCGCTCCTCGGAGCGGTGGCGGCGGTAGCGCCTCCTGACTGAGCTTGCGACAGGAGCTCGGGGAGGAGGTAAGCTTGAATTCTGTGAATTGGTGTGGGTATCGGGGGAAAGGGCGTTGGACGGAGCCGGGATGGGAAGGCCCCGGGTTGTCCTCCATCCCTTCTTGGGTCACGCCAGGATTTTGAGCTCTCCTTGAGCATCCCACCCTTAACTGTGCAATAGCTCCCTGGGCTCAGGCTGCGTTTCTAGCTCTTGTTCCGATTCCGGCGAGTTTGTTTAAAAGGACGGGGGGAGTCAGACAAAAAAACTCTGCTGGGTCCCTACCAGAAAGGCTTGGGAACCCTGGCGCAGTATTCGCATTTGTATGCGCTGGACGGGGGCAGGAATATGGTCTTAGATTTAGAGGCTCCCTCTACGCATTCCAGACCTGTAGGAAAAATTATCTTGCTGTTGGTTGTATTTGGTTTTGCTTATTTCCCGGCAGTGATAATTTAACCACTTGGGTCCTGGAAGTTAATTTTGGCAACTATCTGTCAGAAACTGGGGAAGGTGGAGTGAAAGGAGAGGGTCTGCTGTTTGGCATTATCTCTTTCTGAACAGGTTAAAATAATTTATGTGGCTGCAAATTATTCAGAGTTGATATTACTTGAACGATATTGGTAGGATGTAGTTTGTGGAGCGTAGTGTCTTAAGCTATTCGGGTATATTGTGAAGTTTTTAGATAATTTGAACTACTCTGAAAATTATAGGCGTATACTATCCCTTCAGATTTTGGGGGTTTTTTGGAGAAATAATTTTAAAAGTTTGGAAAATATCTTCACAGCTCAACTTTTCAAAGTCCATGATACTGTTGCAGTTAATCTAAATGTTTATGCAGTACAATCCATGCATGTGTATATGGTGCCAGTTAGCGGAGTCTAGTTTTGTAATATTGGAAATTACTGGCTTTAGTACCTAAGTGACAATATTTTTAAGAGTTTTGTGGACATAATCTGTAGATTTTCAAATACTTTACAATTTCTTAATGCAATAGATTATAAAATGACAGTTTAAACAAGAGACTACTCAGAATGTTGATGCAGGTATGTAGCAATTTGTGTCTGTAAAAACAGTTGCACCATGAAACTTAGACTTTTACTGTGTGGATCTGGTAGGATCCAGTTTTATCAAATGCATGCCTCTTACTGGCTTCCTAATTCTTGCTGATTCAAAATGAATATTGATTGCATATTTAAGATATGCAAATCAATCCAGTTTTCATATTGGTAAATTAATACTAAAATTCATCAAGTGGATGCCATTTTCACTTCTGTACAAGTTATTAGAATTTTAATAAGTTGTCACTGTTAATTGGTATTACAGTGTGCATTGGCAGTTAAATATAGAAAACAAAATTGTTTAATTGACATTTATTTGAGGAATTGGTTTTCAGTGGATGTTAGTCTTTCCCACCTCCCCCAACCCCATTCTCCATTTCATGTAGAGTTGGAGCTATTTTAGTAGATACTTAGTAACAGTTGAAAGTTAACTGGTGTTGCTATTTAAAGTGTCTTTATTCTTTTTTGGTAGTGTGCATGTTGCAGTTCTGTTTATTTCACTTTACAGTAGTTGCTAGCTTCGGCTATTTTCTGTGCATAGTCTTTTTAACAAATTATTTTTTCTATACAGTGCTACAGTATTGCCTTGCTCATAGTGGTATAGTCAATTTAGTTCTGTTAATTGTTTGGAGTTAAGTTTGGAATTGTTTTAGTCTATCTGGAAGCAACCTGCAAAATTGTTTCAGAAAGTTATTTTTTTAAAAATTCTCCCAGACTATGCATCAAATAAACTTTTTTTCTTTCAAATATATGAAATATAAATGGGAAGAGACCTTATTTTTAATATAAACCTTTTAATTTTAGAACTTCAGTGGATAAGAATTTATTCTACCAGTTAGTACATTTATGTATTTTTAATTGTTTACTTGACAGTTTCCGAATATTGTGCTGCAACTTATCCAGGTTAAAATGATAAATGCTTTCATTTGTCCTAGGAGAAGATGAGGCCTCAAGAAGATGTAATTATGGATTTAAATGAGGATACTAGAATTGATATATGTTTTATTGACAAGATTTTAATAATTAGGCTTCAGGAGTCATTGATCATTTGTATGTTTCCCCAGTCTTAGCCATATTTATAGGGTGGAGCTTTGAGTACATTATGATATTTGTGAGTTTTGGGAGAAAGGGGACTGTTCCCATTTATTAAGACCCTCTTTTGTTGTATTTTAATAGATTCAAACTCTGTATCCCCTGTTTTTCAATTGAAAATATATCATAAAAACCTTGATATTTATTTACTCTGCAAATGGAGGCGAGAAATAGGAAAATAACTCCAAAGACTTTCACCGGTGTCACTTGGGCTTTGGTAATGTTGGTGTTTGGGAAAGACATGATGATGTGGGTAAAAGTGTAATGACAACTTGAAATCAAAGATTAATTTGAAAACAAAACTGGAGGGAAAAGATTTAAAGTCTCTGAAATAGGGAAGACTTTAATATTTACATTTTTATTTTATTGTTTGTAACTCTTCTCACATACTTTGAAGCGTTTGCTTATTGAAGCCTGTTCAGATATTAATTGAAAAAGGTTTTTATCCCCTCTCAGTCAAATCTATATTTTATTAGATTGTAGTATTTATTTGCCTTTGAGGACCCAAATTTTTAGATAGAAAATTCTAATTAAGTCATTTTAATTGGTAACATACTTTTAAATTAATATATTAATGTATATGAGTAAATGCTTTTCTGGTGTATTGTAGATTATATGTATATATTTAGGCAAATAGGATTTAAAATATTATATTTTGTGTTCTTTATAAGCATAAAGTATTTTATCTATGTCAATCATGAATGTTTCAGTAATATTTCAAAAACTTATTGCTAACTACTGATAGAAGTTCCTAGAGGGATGATCAGAAGAATTCCTCTTTCAATTAGAAAACTTCAAATACTACTTTTTCCCTTTTGCCTCAGATTTTTTTTTCTGTCTACGACCCCCCTATAACATAGACCTGGTACTCAAAGTCAGTGCAATTTTAGAAGGAAGCCTGACACTGTTGGATGCTGAGAATATGACTTTTACTTTGCTGTTTTTCCCCTAAGTTGGAAGACTCGACAGTAGCTAAAAGTAAAGTTCCAGTGATAATAACTGTGTAGGTGAATCTTGAGTAGTTCTTATTGTGTCCCGTGTACAAGCAACTTTGTCTCTGTGGGAAGGTACTTTTTTAGTGGCAGGGATACATACAAGGCGGGGTATATGATTCCATCGTAAGTCCTCACTAGTTTGTCTTCGACATAGTAGTCCAAACCTTTTGAAATCTTCAAAATTTATGTTATTGATCTAGGATTAGAGAAAGGCCTTGGTTTTCAGTGGTAGGTCAGGGGAGTAGTGGAGTTCTGATCCAAGCAACGGATTATAGAGCAGGAAGAGAAACAGTTAATACCTGGAGCCCTCAGAAAAACAAGAAAGGAGATGCTATGACCAGTGTTTCAGGTATAATAATAAATAGCTGTTCCCCTAAGTATAGAAAGCACTACCATTAATTTTTTTGGAGGAGGGTGTGTTAGGAGTGGCAGCATGCTGCAGCTATATAGGAGTTTCGGGAGCAGAACTATTTCCATTGATAGCGGAGGGAAATATGTAAGGTTAGGGTTGGTCTTCTTGAGGCACCATGGGGGGATGGTGTACATGTTTTCCAAGTTCTAAATAACTAATATGAGCTAATAAGGAACTTTTAGAACTCATTCACTTGTAAGTTTATTAGTGAATGAAGATTACAATGTACATCTCTATATTAATATAGTAACATAATGAGACTTTGAACATTTGTTTTTGTTCTAAACTTTCCCTATTTTTTGTGACATATTTACTTTTTATTGACTCCTGCTCAGATATAAATTGTAAAAAAGTGGTTTTCTCAGTTAATCAAAGCTCTACAGATCTTTTCTCAGTTCCATTTATCTTGGCCTTCCATTCTATAAAGAACTTTTCAGTAAATCAAATG